TTCCATATTGAAATTTAATGCAGTTTTCAAAATTACTGATATATTTTCTTCATTTGTCTCTTGTCCTTTTACCTTATTCATGGTTGCCAAATGGTATTTAAAAATTTTTGTTAGTCAAATCTTTGTGGTTTCAGTGTTTTGTATTTTACATAGACGGTCCTAACTACTAGATTGTAAAAATAGTATTATCCTTTCTTTTTTAATTAAAAATTTTAAGTCTATACTTTTAAACCATGTGGAGTTTATTTTTACATGTGTCACGAGGCAGGTATCAAGTCTTTTTTCTTCTTCTTCTTTAATTGGTTAGCCATTAATTGAAAAGTCTCTTTTTCCTGCTGTTTGGAAATGCCACCTGCTAAACTCCTGGATATGCATGGGTAGGTTCCTTGATATTCACTTTCTTTCTGTTTGTTGTTCTTTCTATAAATTTCAGCTTCAATATCATGCTGCTTTAATTTTCTTTAACTTTAGAATGCGTTTTTATATCTATTAAAACAAGTCCTCTCTCTTTTTTTCAAAATATTTATGAGCATACACTTCAGAGAAACTTGAGAATCATTTTATCAAGTTATCTTAATACATCTGGTAAATTATTCCATTTCAGCACACACAAGTAAGTTCTACCTTGTTGTTTTCCTCAATGCATAGTTTTAATATATTTAGCCACCCCACTGCTGATAGACACTTAGATTGTTGCAAACTTTGTACAAGTTGTGTTGCTCTCCCATCTTTTCCATGTATGAAAAACTCCTAAATATTAAATGTGTGAGTTGATTTGGAAAGAAGTTATATCTTTATAATAATGAATCTTACAAGAAGATGTATTCGTATTTTTTATGTCCTTCAGTAGAATTCAATAGTTTTAATTCCTATAAGGCCTTATATAGATTTATTTCTGAGTAATTCTTAAATTAACACATTGTACGTTAGACCTTGGCAAGCTGATTGCAGGTTCCATATTGTACCTATTCATAGGGGACAGTGTGATGTTTTGATACACACATATATATATGTATGTATATACACATTCTGTAATGATCAAACCAAGGTAATTAGCACATCAATCACTCAATAATTTATTATTTCTTTGTAGTGAGAACATTCAAAATCTTCTCTTACAGCTATTTTGAAATACAGTCATGCATCACATAATGACCGGAATATATTCTGAGAAATGCATTATTAGGCAATTTTATTGTTGTGTGAACGTCATAGAGTATGCTTAGACAAACCTAGGTGGTATAGCCTACCACACCCCTGGGCTATATGGTATAGCCTATTGCTCCTAGGCCACAAAGCTCTTCAGCATATTACTGTACTGAGTGCTGCAGGCAATTGGAACACAATGGTAAGTATTTGTATAGCTAAACATAGAAAAAGTACAGTAAAAATACAGTGTGAAATATAAGAAATGGTACAGGTATGTAGAGCAGTTATCATACATGGAACTTGCAGGACTGCAAGTTGCTCTGGGTGAGTCAGTGAGTGAGTGATGAGTGAATGTGAAGGCCTAGGGCATTACTGTACACAACTGTAGATTTTATAAAACACTGTACACAAGCTACACTTAATTTATAGGCAAGTTTTTGGCTGGGTACAGTGGCTTACATCTGTAATGCCAGCACTTGAGGAGGCCGAGGCGGCGGGATCACTTGAGGTCAGTAGTTGGAGTCAAGCATGGGTGACATAGTGAGACCCCCAGCTCTACAAAAAATATATATATTAGTTGGGTGTGGTGATACACACTAGTCCCTGGGTATCAGGAAACTGAGGATTGCTTGATCCCAGAAGTTTGAGTTTGCAGTGAGCTGTGATCACACCATTGCACTCCAGTCTGGACAACAGAGCAAGACTCTGCCTCTAAATAAATGAATAAATTAATTAAAATAATATGTTTTTCTTTCTTCAATAATAAATTAACCTTAGTTTACTGTAACTTTTTTTTTTTTTTTTTTGAGGCAGTCTCACTCTGTCACCCAGGCTGGAGTACGGTGGCTTGATCTCAGCTCACTGCAACCTCTGCCTCCTGGGTTCAAGCTATTCTTCTGCCTCAGCCTTCCAAGTAGCTGGGATCAGGTGTTCACACCATGCCTGGCTAATTTTTTTTTTTTTTTATATATTTTTAGTACAGATGGGGTTTCTCTGTGTTGGCTAGGCTGGTCTCAAACTCCTGGCTTCAAGTGATCTGCCTGCCTTGGCCTCCTAAAGTGTTGAGATTACAGATGTGAGCCACTGCAACTGGTCAACTTTTTTAACTTTATAAACTTTTCCATTTTTTTTTTAACTTTTTGACTTTTCGTAATAACACTCAGCTGGAAACACAAACACATTGTATAGCTGTACGAAAATATTTTCTTTCTTTGTATCCTTATTATATAAGCTTTCTATAAGCTTTTTCCTATTTTTTTTTTTTTTTTTTTTTTTTTTTTTTTTTTTGAGACAGAGTTTCACTCATGTTACCCAGGCTGGAGTGCAGTGGCACGATCTCAGCTCACCGCAACCTCCGCCTCCTGGGTTCAGGCAATTCTCCTGCCTCAGCCTCCTGAGTAGCTGGGATTACAGGCATGCACCACCATGCCCAGCTAATTTTTTGTAGTTTTAGTAGAGACGGGGTTTCACCATGTTGACCAGGATGGTCTCGATCTCTTGACCTCGTGATCCACCCGCCTCGGCCTCCCAAAGTGCTGGGATTACAGGCTTGAGCCACCGCGCCCGGCCACGCTTTTTCCTATTTTTAAATCTTTTTTACTTTTTACACATTTTTGTTAAAAATGAAGACACAAACACATACATTAGCCCAAGCCTACCCAGTGTCAACATCACTGTCTTCCACTCCACATCTTGTCGCACTGAAAGGTCTTCAGGGGTAATAACACACATGGAGTCGTCATTTCCTATGACATCAGTGTTTTCTTTCTGGAATACTTCCGGAAGGGCCTGCCTGAGGTTGTTTTACAGTTAGCTTTTTTTTTTTTTTTAAATAAGTAGAAGGAGTATACTCTAAAATAACCATAAAAAGTATAGTAAATATATAAACCAGTAATATTGTCATTTATTATTATTATGTATTATATGTAAATATATGTGTTATACATACATTTTTATACTAATATCACCACAAACATGAATAATGCCTTGTGCTATGACATTATAAGTGCTGGGATATCACTAGGCAATAGAAATCTTTCAGCCCTATTATAATCTTATGGGACCACCATTGTATATGGAGTTAATCATTGATTGAAATGGTATGCATTGCATGACTGTATGCATTATTGTTAATTATAGTTAACCTACTGTGCTATCGTGAATTTGCTACTGTGAACGTGGGTGTACCAATATTTCGAGACTCCGCTTTCATTTCTTCTGATATATGCCCAGAAGTGGAATGGCTGGATCCCCTGTTGAGTGATATCAATTACCATATGATAATTCTGTTTTAATTTTTTAAGGAACTGCCAAACTGTTTTCCATAGCAGCTGTACCATTTTATCTCCCTGCCAACTGTGTACAAGTTTCCAATTTCTCCACAACGTCACTAATACTTACTATTTTCTGTGATTTTGATAGTAGCCATCCTAATGGGTATGAGATGGTATCTCATGGTGCCAATCTCTTCATTTTACAGAATAAGAAACTGGGGGGATACATGATTTGTTTATATGCAGAGGCTGACCAGTTTGCTAAATGACTGTTCAGTTATTGTCTAATTCCTGAAAGAGTCAGTTTATTGAACGATAGATTTCATTGAATTGATTCATCAAACTTTGCCAGGTTTTCCTCACTGATATTCACCAGACTGCTTCACTAAAATCTTGTCTTTATTATCTACTTACAAATACATATAGGAAATTGTATTGTTGGATGGGCACAGTGGCTCATGCCTATAATCCCAGCACTTTGGGAGGCAGATCCCTTGAGTCCAGGAGTTCAAGGCCAGCCTGGGCAACATCTCTACAAAATGCCATCTCTACCAAAAAGACAAAAATTAGCCAGATGTGGTAGTGTGCACCTGTAGTCCCAGCTACCAGGGAGGCTGAGGTGAGAGGATTGCGTGAGCCCAGGGGAGGTTGAGGCTGCAGTTAGCTGTTGAATGTGCCACTGCACCCTAGTCTGGGTGATGGAACAAGGCCCTCTCTCAAACAAAACTAAAACAAAACAAAAGCAACTTTTTTATGTTTGAAAATTATCATAATAAATGTTGGGGAAGACCCTGAATTTTAGACCTAGCTCTATTATTATTTTTTTTTTTTTGAGACGGAGTTTCGCTCTTGTTATTCAGGCTGGAGTGCAATGGCGCGATCTCGGCTCACTGCAACCTCTGCCTCCTGGGTTCAGGCAATTCTCCTGCCTCAGCTTCCTGAGTAGCTGGGATTACAGGCACGCACCACCATGCCCAGCTCATTTTTTGTATTTTTAGTAGAGACAGGGTTTCCATGTTGACCAGGATGGTCTCGATCTCTTGACCTCGTGATCCACCCGCCTCGGCCTCCAAAAGTGCTGGGATTACAGTGAGCCACCGCGCCTGGCCCCTAGCTCTATTATTTAATAGCGGTGTGTTCTCAGAAAAAGCTCTTAATCCCTCTGTAATAGAAATCAAATAACCTGCCTTATCTGCTTTAAAGCAGATATTGTAAGGATGAATATACTTTATATGAATGGAATTTGAAAACCATACCATTAAGATAGTGCTATTATTTCCCTTCTTGGTGATTTCAGTGGCTATTCTTAGTAAAGTATTATGTTTTGGATTTTTTTTTTTTTTTTTTTAGTGGCACAATCAGAGAAGGAAGAGTTCAGATTAGTGAAGATGGGAAGAGAATGTTCTACTTGGCTCACTTAATGAGAAAAAATAACCTCCTACACAACTATTAGCTCTTCTACAATAGACAGGCAGAGTCTTCGTTTACTTTAAAGCCGTTATCTGTATCTTTATAAAGAAGGAGACAGAAAGAAAAGGTTAAACATAAGCATGTAAATCAAACTTTGTTCTTTTTCAGGAGGCAGTAGGGGATACATTAGAAGAACTGTGGATCTCATACAATTTTATTGAGAAGTTGAAAGGGATCCACGTAATGAAGAAATTGAAGATTCTCTACATGTCTAATAACCTGGTAAAAGACTGGGGTAAGCTGAGAGTGGCCCTTTGCTAACCTTCTACCTCCTGTTTATAGAAAGTAGTCTGCAAGGAAAAAGATGCAACATGAGAACATTGATTTCTAAGCACAGAAAGTATACATAATTCATTCACTTATGTGCGATGAACTATACCAGTCTCTTTGGATACACGTTGAATAGGACATTATCCCTGCCCTCAAGGAGTTCACAGCTTAGTGGGGAAAATTAGTTTGTAAGCTAATAATTATAAAACTGTGTGATAAGAGGCCAAATGCAATGGCTCATGCCCATAATCCCAGCATTTAGGGAGACTGAGGCAGGCAGATTACCTGAGGTCAGGAGTTCGAGACTAGCCTGACCAACATAGCAAAACCCTGTCTCTACTAAAAATACAATTAGCCAGGCATGGTGGTGCATGGCTGTAGTCCCAGCTGCTTGGGAGGCTGAGGCATGAGAGTTGCTTTAGCCCAGGAGACAGAGGGTGCAGTGAGTAGGTATCGTGCCACTGCACTCCAGCCTGGGCGACAGAGTGAGACTCTGTCTCAAAACAAAAACAAGAAAACAAAACTGTGTGATAAGTTCTGCAATAGAGATTTGAATGAGTTGTTTTAAGAATTCAAGGATGAGGGAATGGGTATAGACAAAGGCAGGTTAGCTTAACCCACACTGCAGCAGCACAGCATAAAGACCTGTCACTGGAAAGCAATTTGTTCTTTTTGACTCTGAACCTTATCTCATCTTCTTTCATCCTTAGACTAGCATTTAAAGTAGAGAGGTATGTCTTCTTTTTCCCTCCCATCCTGTAATGTCTTCTGAGAATGACTTTATATGGTATAACTTCCCTAGCTTCTTTCAAAATCTTAAACAACTAATTGTTATGAATAGTCACAAACTGAGTGTTAATGATATTGGAATTTAATCCCCAAAATTGTAACAGTAAAACTTGCTGTTTTAATATGGAAAATATTGTTTGTACTTGTAGCTGAGTTTGTGAAGCTGGCAGAACTGCCATGCCTGGAAGACCTGGTGTTTGTAGGCAATCCCTTGGAAGAGAAACATTCTGCTGAGAACAACTGGATTGAAGAAGCAACCAAGAGAGTGCCCAAACTGAAAAAGCTGGATGGTGAGTGATTCTGAGCTGGTTTGGACATGTTTTCTAGGCATAAAAATGGAATCTGTGTAGGCTGGGCGTGGTGGCTCACACCTGTAATCCCAGCACTTTAGGAGGCTGAGATGGGCAGATCACAAGGTCAGGAGTTCGAGACCAGCCTGACCAACATGGTGAAACCCCTTCTCTACTAAAAATACAAAAATTAGCCTGGCATGGTGCTGCATACCTGTAATCCCAGCTACTCTGGAGGCGGAGGCAGGATAATCGCTTGAACCTGGGAGGCAGAGTTTGCAGTGAGCCGAGATTACACCATTGCATGCCATCCTGGGCGACAGAGCAAGACTTTGTCTCAAAAAAAAAAAAAAAAAAAAAAAGGAATTTGTGGCATGAAATCATGAAGAGGAGAAAAACTAAAGAAAAATGCCCCTGATCTTCCAGGTCATTTCTATCTATAAAAAATTGAATGGTCTCACCTAGGTTTGGGCCAAGGTGAGATGAAAAACTGCTGGGATATTTAGACTGGCACAAGATTCTCCCTAGAGCAAAAGCTTATAAGAAAACTAGGCCTTATAAATCTATGTGGGGCTAGTCACAGTGGCACATTTCTGTAGTCCCAAGCTACTCAACGAGGCATGAGATTGCTTGAGGCCAAGAGTTTGAGATCAGCCTTGACAATATAATGAGAAAAAACCTGTGTTTATTTAAAAAAAAAAAAAAAAAAGTGTATATTTTTTTCCTGATATAAATTTTCTGCTGTTACATTGGATTAAAGCTGGAATTATTCAGGGTTTGGTGCAGAGCCTCCTTTTCTCACTCTTCCCTCAATCACAAAGAGGTCACCCATGCAAGCAGTAAGAGAGAAGGATCCTGACTTCCAGACAACACAAAGATCCATGTCTATCTACTGTCTACTTGTACTTTATGTAAAAGAAAAATAAACTTCTAGCTCATTGAAGCAAGTTAAAAAATGAAAGAAAGCTAGACTTGTTCTCAAGTCAGAAAGGTGACAAAAGGTCACAAATTTTGATCGGAATCAAAAATTATTCTGATTCTTCAGAATAATCAGAAACACATGGTAAGCAGTTGCTTTTTTACAATTGGATCAAAATTGTAGTGTTCCCTCTCACTTTCTCTCCCCTCATCCCCAATGTTAGTTTCCCAGTATCTAAGCTGTGTCAGCATCACTACATAACCATGATTAACTGAGTTGAGGCCCAGCTCCTCCACTTAATAGCTTTTGTGAAATTGTGCTAATTAATTAATCTCACCAAACCTTGTTTGTTTGTAATCTAAAAATTGGAGATGATAATAGTACCATTAGTAATCATTTTAGAACATATATCAGAGTATTATTATGAGGATTAAATGAAATAATCTATGTGAAACACTGAACACATGGAGATAATCTATGCTAAATGTTGTGCATAGCATAAAGTAAGTATTCAAAATATATGTTATTGTCAGCTGGTGCAGTGGCTCACGTCTGCAATCCTAGCACTTTGGGAGGCCAAGGTGGGAGGATCGCTTGAGGTCAGGAGTTTGAGACCAGCCTGGCCAACATGGTGAAACTCTGTCTCTACTAAAAATACAAAATTAGCTGGACCTAATGGTGGGTGCCTGTAATTCTAGTTACTCAGGAGACTGAGGTGGGAGAATTGCTTGAACCTGGGAGGTAGTGGCTGCAGTGAGCTAAGATGGCACCACTGCACTACAGCCTGGGTGACAGAGCAAGATTCTGTCTCAGAAACAAAATAAAAAGTTATTATTATTTTAGATTTTAAATCCAAAAATGCAAATGTATAAGGTATATTTTAATATAAATCAACCTCAATTTTTACTTTGAATAATACTTCCCCAGTTCAGTTTAGCTGGCTGTTAAGAAATTCAGTCTGGATCAGTGGCTGCAACACTAGAAAGATGGCAGAACAAGAGCAAATAAAAATCTCTTTGGTTCCTGAAAATCTCCTGAAAAAGAGGAAGGCTTATCAACCCTCAAAGCCACCCAGGCAAAACAGGCACTTTGGGCAAATAAGGAGCAGAGGAAAGAAAAACAGCTCAGGTTTGAATGACTGGAATCATTCCTACATGATTCCTGGCAGCAGAAACGTGACAGAGTACTTCTCAGATGACTAGTAGTGAAACCTTACTCCTTGGAATTGACAGATAAACACTTCTTGGCCTTTGTTGTATGCATCAAAAGGATTGATGGTGTGAGTTTACTGGTGCAGAGAACCATTACAAGACTTTGCCTAAAGAAAATTCTTAGTGTTTGTAAAAGTCATCCCCCAGAACCTAAAAATGCTGCATATTATATTTTTCTAATATTTTAACATAAGCCTCAAGGGACTATCAGAAGGAATTTCATTACCTTTTTGACTTTTTATTTTTTCTGTCTTACTTGAAACGTTTCTTACCTCAGAGGTTGTGTGGTATGGGGGTGGGGTTCAACTGCTACTAGAGGTTTCTCATCTTCTTTCTAGAAGCTTACTGAGGCTTTGAGGCTCAATTCTTTGTATTAGGAATCTCTTGACTACTTTCTCTTGAGGCTGTGTTAAGGCTTAATTCTTCATATTAGAAATGTACCCTTCTTTCTCTGTCTGCTCTGGCTGCTTCTACCTTAAGCTGGATGAGGTGACTACGAAACTGCAGAGAGGACTTACTTATCTTGCACAGCAGTAGTGCTTAGCACTATTCACACACTTTCAACCTCCAGAATATCCCAACTACTAAGGAAATACTTTGTCACCCTTGTGATGTTTTTTACTTTGGTCTATGCACAGTGAGTCGCTGTGGTGTTACAAGCTAAACCTCTTCATGTTGCTTAGAGCTCGGATTTATTTATCACAACGGGTAGGTCTCAATCTCCCATCCCTGAGGCCACTGCAATGAGACAGTGGGACACATCTCCCCCTGGATGGGGAGACTGAAGACCCCCTCCCAAAGGAGAATGGGAGTCCCTGTACGGGCCACCAGAATGGTTAGAAATGAGGCTCGGAGTCTTAAGGAAAAATGGGCACTTAGACAAAGGATTTTTTAGCAAAGCAAATTTACTTTTGCGCAGAAGGGTGTCTCCTGTATGACTGGTTGCTACAAGACCACACAGAACAAAGGAGAGTAGAAGTTTTTATTTTTAATTCGACTTTTGCTTTTGTGTCTTTTCTTTATTGGCTGGGGTTGGACTGCACAATTTAAACTGGATTTGATTGGCTAAACATTTAAATTTTTTTAGATAAGGTAGATGCATGATGAGAAAGAGGGGAAAGGAGGAAGGGGTTGTCTGCAGCGAACTAGAGAGCTAGTAGTCTTTTCTTAAGGAAAGGGATGTGAGCTGGTGCTGATAACGTCACTGGTGCTGTGGCATGCTTAGGCATGTAGTAAAGTTAGAAGAAAAGGAGAAGAAATGGTGGGGTACTGAGAATTAAAGAGTGAAAGGTTGAGCAGGCTGTTTGAATAGAAACCTTCCATATCTCACACTGGGGATTTCCAAATCTGAAGTCTGTCGAAACATGGCCAAGCCAAAGTAAAGAATAAGATCATCCCTCTGACAGACAACACAGTGATTGAGGAGTACCTGGGGAAGTTTGGTGTCATTTTGAAGCAGGAGTGGCAGGGAACAAACCTCTTGAACACCAAACTGTGGGAGGAAGTGGCTTTTTATTCGGCCAGGAGCTTCAGGGGTCTACAGCCTTATTCACTGGGCTCCCCAAGCTGCAACTTCTCTCCCCTTTTATAGGCTTACGACGCTAAAGGGGAAACTGAGGCAGAACTATGTCATTGTCCATTTGCTGGACATCCGACCTTACAATCTTTTGGCTTCATTGATTTGCTAATTCATATGCCATGTGAGCGGGGACCAGCAGGGAAGGGGGCTTACAGAGTCAAGACAAAAGCAACAAGCTGTTTGTTGGCAGAGGTGTTTCCAGGAGGGAGCCTGGTCCATGGAGATGTGGGGGCATGAACCAGTGCCAGGCTCCAGCCTGCAGAGATAACATTCATTTGCAGCTCTTTCAAGGTTGACAGATAGCAGAGATGCTGGGAACTAAAGAGGGAGTCATTTTCCCAGCTCTTTGTTATCTTATTTTATTTATTTATTTTTTTCCTTCTTCACCCTCCTTCTCATCTGGAAGGAGGGGAGGGAGGAGGTGAAATAGAAGGAGGTGAGGGGTCTCACCTCTCGATTTGCTTGGTAGACCTCATTCATGAAATTACCTCCCCAGAGAAGCATTTCCAGAAGATCTTATGGTTCTTGTGCCCTTTCCACCTCTCAGCGGCCCATCATGCTACAAAAAATAGAATGGATTTCCTCAAGGAGATGGGCACACCTGGCTATCAGGGTGAATGCATCAATCAGCTCATCTGCCAGCTAAAGTAGATCTAGGTGCAAAACTGCAGTAAATTTTTGTCAATGAAGCGGAAGCATGTGTTTTTGTTTTAGGGGAATTTTTATCAAGTATCTTCAGAGAAGATCATTTCCTGCTGTGTCTTCAAAAACTGGAAAGGAAGGGTCAAAGAAAAAACAGTAGCTGGCCGGACGTGGTGATTCACTCCTGTAATCTCAGTACTTTGGGAGGCTGAGGTGGGCAGATCACCTGAGGTCAGGAGTTCAAGACCAGCCTGGCCAACCTGGTGAAATTCTATCTCTACTAAAAGTAGAAAAATTAGCTGGACGTGGTGGTAGATACCTGTAATCCCAGCTACTTGGGAGGCTGAGGCAGGAGAATCACTTGAACCTGGGAGGCAGAGGTCGTAGTGAGCCGGATCATGCTACTGCACTCCAGCCTGGGCAACAGAGCAAGACTCCATCTCAAAACAAAAAACAAAAAAGAATAAAATAGAACCCTCCATGTAGAATTTGAATAGATTCAGCTACGTTATGGCCTTTTGGACCAAGTGTTGACTTCATGTCAATCTGAACAGGCCCTAGAAGAACCACCTCAGTCTCTTCTAAACCAGTGGGATAGTCCAGAACAGAGATGGCCACGGCTGCAAACTTGCCTGTTTTTGTTTCTCTTCCATTGCTCATAAGCAAAACTGAGGGATCTTTAAAATCTAAAGTGAGAAAGACAGACAATACCAAATGCTAGTAAGGATGTGAGGCAACTCTTATACCATGTAGGATGCTAATGTAACTTGGTATAACCACTTTGGGAAATTGGCATTATCTACAAAAGCTCTACACGTACATTCCTTGTGACTCAGCAATTTCCTTCCTAACTACATAACTCAAAGAAAAGGGTGGGTATGTTTACCAAAAGACACCTGTGAGAATGTTCATAGTAGCAATATTTTAATAGCTAAAAATTAGAAACAACTTAAATATTTTGAACAATGGAATAGATAGATAAATTATGGCATAGTCATACAATGGAATATTAAACAGCAGTAAATGAACTACAATTTTACACAACATGGATGAATCATACAAACATAATGTTGAATATAAGAAGCCAGGCGGGGCACGGTGGCTCATGCCTATAATCCAGCACTTTGGGAGGCCAAGGCAGACAGATCACGAGGTCAGGAGTTTGAGACCAGCCTGACCAACATGGTGAAACCCCATCTCTACTAAAAGTACAAAAAAATTAGCCAGGCATGGTGGCACATGTCTGTAATCCCAACTACTCAGGAGGCTGAGGCAGGAGAATCACTTGGACCGGGGAGGCAGAGGTTGCAGTGAGCCAAGATCGCACCACCACACTCCAGCCTGGGCAACAAAGCGAGATTACATCTTAAGAAAACAAAACAAAACAGAAGCCAGATACAGAGTACATGCTATATCATTCCTGTGATCCTATCTGGGAGGCTGAGGCAAGAAGATTGCTTGAGTATGGGAGTTTGAGACTGTAGCGAGCTGTGATCACATCACTGCATTCCATCCTGGGTGACAGAGCAAGACCTTGTCTTAAAAAACAAACAAAAAACAAGGAAAATGGGCTATGGTGTTAAGATATTAGGATAGAATATATCTTTTGTGGGTGTAGTGACTGGCAGGCGACCTGAGGCAGTTTTAAGGTTCTGATAATCTTTTCTTTCTTAAATCTGGGTGCTGGTAACTAGCTTTTGTTCACCTTATGAACATTTATCAATCTGTACATTATAATTTGTACACTTTGGATGTTGTGTGTCAGCAAAAAGTTCACTTGTCCCACAAACAGATGCTGTGGGGTGTACAGAGAGGTCAAATTATGTTTACTGCCATCAAGAACGTGGACATCTTGGAAGGCATCACTGAGGAAATGAGGCACTGGAGTTAGTTCTCAATAAAGGGTAGGATTCAGATGGGAGAAGAGTTGAGGAGGGCATTACAAAATGAAGGAATTTTAAGCTGGGTGTGGTGGCATGCACCTGTAGACCCAGTTACTCAGGAAGCTAAGGCAAAAGATCCTTTGAGCCCAGGAGTTCAAGTCCAGCCTGGGCAACATAGGAAGTCCCATCTAAAAAAAAAAAAAAAGAAAAGAAAAGGGGGGAAAAAATGAAAGAACTTTGTTAACCAGTTGTCCAGAGGTAAAAGTGTGCAAGGTGAGTTTGGGAGACAGTGAATTGATCAGATTAGTTGGAGTGCAGGGTAAATGCCTGAATAGTTAAGACTGAATAGTCAGCTGGGGTCAAACTGGCTTTAAATGCTAAAGCTCAGAAATGGGTGGCCCTTGGCACAGTGAGAACCAGAGATATGTTTTGTTTTCTCTACAGTGATTATTTTTTTTAATATCTCCCCAATGTTCAGCAACTGGGGGAGGTCATTAAACAATTAGAGGAGTTCAGATTTTTTGCAATACTGTGATTATACATTTTATTGTGGGAAATGAAGAATATTTCTTTATGCTTAACATAGAAAGCTTTTTTTTTTTTTTTTTTTTTTTTTTTTAGACAGAGTCTCACTCTTGTTGTCCAGGCTGACATGCAGTGGCATGATCTTGGCTCACTGCAACCTCCGCTTCCCAGGTTCAACTGGTCTCCTGCCTGAGCCTTCCTAGTAGCTGGAATTATAGGCGCCTGCCACCAGGCCTAGCTAATTTTTTGTATTTCTAGTAGAGACAGTGTTTCACTCTGTCGGCCAGGGTGATCTCGAAATCCTGACCTCAGGTGATCCATCCGCCTCAGCCTCCCAAAGTGCTGGGATTACAGGCATGAGCCACCGCTCCTGGCAGAAAGTTTTCAATGTGTACAGAACTCACTTTATTTTTCTGCTTGGTACTTGTTGGTTTATTTTATTTTATTTTGAGACTGGGTCTCACTTTGCCACCTAGGCTGGAATGCAGTGGCATAATCACAGCTCGCCACAGCCTTGACCTCCCAGGCTCAAGTGATTCTCCCACCTCAGTCTCCAAAGTAGCTGGAGACTACAGTTTCACACCACCATGCCTGGTTATTTTTTTTTTTTTTTTTTTTTTTTAAAGAAATGGGGTCTTGCTATGTTGCCCAGGCTTGTCTCCAACTCCTGGGCTTAAGTGTTCCTCTCACTGTGGCATCCCAAAATGCTGAAATTATAGGCAGTGAGCCACCATGCCTGGCCATAGGCATTTTTATTTGCAATTTGGCAGTTAGGGGGCTTAATATTCATAAATATATATACAGTACCAAACCATTTGAGAATTCTCCTGAGAAGCTTTCCAGAGAATTTGAAATTAAAGAGATTATTTTGTGAAATTATTTTTATTATGGCACACTTCATAGTATCTCAGAGGTTCTCAGGTTAACAGGAAAATATTTTCTTCTTTTTTTTTTTTTTGAGACAGAGTTTTGCTCTTGTCACCCAGGCTGGAGTACAATGGTGCAATCTCAGCTCACTGCAACCTCTGCCTCCTAGGTTCAAGCAATTCTCCTGCCACAGCTTCTCATGTAACTGGGATTACAACTGCCTGCCACCATGCCCCAGCTAAGTTTTGTATTTTCAGTAGAGATGGGTTTCACCATATTGGCCAGGCTGGTCTCAAACTCCTGACCTCGTGATCCGCCTGCCTCAGCCTCCCAAAGTGCTGGGATTACAGACGTGAGCAACTGTGCCTGGCCAGGAAAATATTTTCATCTAGAATTTTAGCAATTTGTTGAAAATGACCAGTACTAATTTTCTTTTTCATTTTAGGTACTCCAGTAATTAAGGAGGATGAGGAAGAAGATAACTAATGCCACCTTTTCCACTTTGTGTTAACTTATTTAAATGTCATAAGAACAATAGATACATTTTATATAATTGTCTATTTTAAAGATTCTGTATGGGACAAAAGTTTCTTAAGATAAAACAGATCACTCATTCTCATCTTTTCCCCCCTTAACTTATTCAGTGTTTCTCCCCAAAACTGGTAATGCCAACCTAATATATCCTATTCCTCTTTTTAGAAACCACAAATTTTCGGTTTTTGTCTTCAGTCTCAGTTACATACTGTATAGCCCCATCTACTAAAACCTTTGTAGACCAGTAATTTTTTTTGTCTTTCTTTTTTGTTTTTTTCTTTTTTTTTCCTGTAGACCAGTCATTTTTAATAACAAACGAACAAATGTTCTGTTTTCAGTTCATTCATTTTTTTAAGTTAGACGTTTTAAAAGATATGCATTTGAAAATTTAGAACATCTTTCCTGAAGGTCTGTCTCCTTACAATTCAGAAGCACAAATATATCATGACTTTAGCTCTGAAGGCAGCATGGTGATAGAAGAGTTTGTCTTAGAAATAAATAAATACTAAAAAAAAGAAAAAAGAAATATAGCAGCCATAAAGCCAAGGCTCCAAAGTTCAATCAGAAAAGATATGGTGAAAAAAGGAAAAATTAATATCTTACAGACCTTCTAGTCTAGATTATACTTGTTTTTCCAAAAAATGTGCACATTGTCAACTGGAATTTAGGTTGTTTTTATATGCATGGCCACTTGAGTCACTGTGTACAGTCAGTCATTTTGTGATCTAAGTCAGTGGTTAAAATGACTGTCATGATCATTTCTTTGACCAATAACGTGGCCATGTTACTCGTGGAGCTGGCCTTAAGCACGCATTTTGGTTTTATAGTTCCTTATATGTTTAAAGCATTAGTTATATTTGAATTCCTAGCCTAAATGCTGGCCATTGATGTATGTCAAAATTTACCCTAGTGATTTGGTCTGGTGACCCTCATTGTTGGGAGAAGTGATTGTCATGGTTATAAGTAAGGATATGATGAAACTTAGTATTTCAAAATATATTTTTTTGAGAAGTTCTAAGTTAAACAGCTCTTAAAATGTATTATATACGTGGTTGTGGAGGGAAGAGAGATGTTTCATTATGAGATCCCAGGCAAATGGCAATAGGTTTGAGGATTGTCTCCTACATAAAGTAGTGTAGGTGGTTTAACCTCAAAATAGCAAAGCAATAGTTAGATGGAGAGATTAGAATTTATCATGTAAAAAAATTTTTCAGGAAAATGTAAGACATTGTAGTCAGTGAGCAGATGAAGTCCATAGGAGGCCATGGCTGAATCACTAATAGATTGCAGAAAAGAAGTCAGGACCCTCTGCCAAATTGTGCCTAAAGTCCCTCAGAGACGGTTGATTCTTGTTCCCCATCTACTTGTGTGATTTTACTTGCATAAAATCACAGTGAAAAAGGAGAGAATCATTTTTAAAAGTGATTGCATAAGTAGTCCTGGGTTTCAGAAGATTTTAACTATCATTTATGTAGGAATTACTTGATTTTTCTAAGTCAAAAGGGACCACTGCTTTGACAATCAACTCTAAATACAAACAAGGGGAAAACTTGGGCTAACACCCTTTCAGCTTTCTTTTCTCTCTTCTTTACAATCTGATAGGAAGAAACCTTACCCTCCTCTAGCTGGTTTATGCACTCAAAGCCTTTGGACATTTCTTTTATGAACCATAGGCAATGAGCCTTCATTCTCCTTGGTGATGTTAAAGGTCCATAAACTGAGAGGGAAGATGGTCTTCTTAAAGTTTGCACTTCATCCAGTAGGCAAGCTTGAAGCCATGTTGTTATGGGTATGTTTTCTAAAAGTAACCCTGGAAGTGAATATAATAGGAAGTAAATGATTTCATATTGAATTTATTTGTAAAATGGCTTAGAGCTTTGGTGTTTTTTTCTGAATTCTGTAATATAGACACTGATTCTCTTTCTCCTTGTTTTTCAGTGACTTTAATTACAAGTAGTTCTCAGAAATGTAAGATACTTTTCTCTGTCCATTTCATGTAAATTCATATTCCGTATCATTCAACAAATATTTGAATGACTTCTATGCATCCCTGTTCATGGAACCCACACCATTAGAAAATGGAAGATGGGATGCATGAAGAAACGTAGGATATTCTCTCAAATCATTCCCTAAATTATCCTTTACTGGTACAAATTTAGCTGATATAAATGCCTTTGGTTTATGCCTCTTGGATCAGATATTTGACCTACTTGGAATAGATTCTCTCTGTGTGCTTCCAGTGTAACCATTAAGCCATTTTAGTGGATCATTTAAATTTTTTCTATTCTTGGTTTTGTTTGTTTGTTTGTTTTTTGAGACGGAGTCTCACTTTGTCTCCCAAGCGGGAGTGCAGTGGTGCTACCTTGGCACCCTGCAACCTCTGACTCCTGGGTCCAAGCGATTCTTCTGCCTCAGCCTTCCGAATAGCTGAGACCACAGGTACGTGCCACCATGCCTGGCTAATTTTTGCATTTTTAGTAGAGATGGGGTTTCACCATGTTGGCCGGGCTTGTCTTGAACTCCTGACCTCAGGTAACCCAAAGTGCTGGGATTACAGACATGAGCCACTGCACCCAGCCAAATTTCTTCTGTTCTTGTAAGTGATGGTAAAACTCTGGAATCAGTCCAGTACTTTAATTTTTCACAGCAAATTTGATTTTAGTCTACCAAGAAGTTAAACTTTTCTGTTCCCTAACTCTGAGCTTAGAGCTGTATTGCCTAGACAGGCCTTAGAAGGTTTTTGTGTTCTCTGTTAAGAATTTGTTCCTTTAAACCAGAGGATCAACCTTGCAACTGTTAACATTTTGGGATTGATAGTTCATTGTTGTTGGGGGCTGTTCTGTGTACTTCAGATGGTCAGCTGCATCCCTGGCCTCTGCCCACTAGATTCTAGTAGACCCCCTTGATTCTAGTAGACCCCCTCCTCAGCCATGACAACAAAGATATCTCCAGACATTGCCATCTGTCCCTTGGGCAGGAGGGTGGGAACAAATTCTCCCTTAGTTGTGCTTTTTATGCCAACATCAGTTGTGTCCAGAGTCCATTTATTTTCACTCTGTAGCCATGTGCCACTTGAATTGTTATATGAGAAAAGGTGATGTATTTAATAATCATGGATGGAAAGAAATGGCTACTGGTATTTTCTTTTTCGTAATGCTCTTTTTTTTTCTTTTTTGAAATGGAGTCTCACTCTGTTGCCCAGGCTGGAATGCAGTGGCGTGACTTCTGCTCACTGCAACCTCTGCCTCTTGGGTTCAAGCAATTCTTCTTCCTCACCCTCCTGAGTAGCTGGGACTACAAGTGCATGCCACCATGCCCAGCTAATTTTTGCATTTTCAGTAGATAAGGGGTTTCACCATATTGGCCAGGCTGGTCTCAAACTCCTGACCTCGTGATCCACCTGCCTCAGCCTCCCAAAGTGCTGGGATTACAGGGGTGAGCCACTGCACTCGGCTGTAATGCTCATTCTCACAATTTTCATGTAATATTAGAAACTCGGGGCTGGAAGATTCAACTTATCTTTTTTGAAGCAGGGTCTCCAACTTTTATTTCTAAGCATTCTTGCTCTTCTTAGGACAGTGATTATTAACCTACCTCTCTGTTTCTATCAACAGAAGCCAGCTTTATGTTATTTTACTTTGTCTCTAAAGTTTAACATTTTGAATATGCTTTAGAAAGTAGGTCATCATTCTTTAAGATTCATTCATTGTCTAATAATATACAGAATTTTGCAGACTGTGGCAGTCATTAAATACAGAAAAATACTGTGTAAAATTGGATAATCTTGTAGGAAAGTTAGCTGATTTCTGGGTGTGATCAGAAGAATGTCTGCTTAAGATAACTGGTCTATAACTTGGTGTGGTTACTGGATCCATTCCACATATGGTGGTATATGGCACCTAAATGTGGCTCCTGGTTGGGCATGGTGGCTCACGCCTGTAATCCCAGCACTTTGGGAGGTCAAGGTAGGCTGATCACTTGAGGTCAGGAGTTTGAGACCAGCCTGGCCAACATGGTGAAACCCTATGTCTACTAAAAATATAAAAAGTTAGCCGGGTATGGTAGTGCATGCCTGTAATCCCAGCTACTCAGGAGGGTAAGGCAGGAGAATTGCCTGAACCCAGGAGGCCGAGGCTTCAGTGAGCCGAGATCATGCAACTGTACTCCAGCCTGGGTGACAGAGCGAGTCTCTGTCCCAAAAAGAAAAAAAAAATGGTTCCTGTGTGGAAACAGAAATTTCAACTTGAATAGGCACTTCTTTTGACACCTTTTACCAGTAGTCTGAAGCAGAATAGGGAAGAATAAGAAATGATTCTTGACTGTTGACTTATTCTGAGAATTGGTGAGGTGTATAGAAAATTGGAATCTTCTACCTGGGTTTTTCTTAGGGCTAAATGGAAAAGCATAGGGCCCAAAGAGGTTGGAGTTAATCATTAACTTAAAAGCCTTAGGAGAAGGTGTTAGTGTCCATCATGAATAGTTTGTCTCTCTCTAACCACAGTCAGACCATCAGTTCACTAAGACCTTACATACTCTGTTGGTAAAGGAAGAAAACTGCTAAATTGCATGTTATTGTCTACCAGAAATTCCTTTCCTTGGCACAGATTTTCTTTGTTTGTGGCTGTTTAATGTGTCTGTAAATAATGAAATATAAAAACAAGATTCAGTGTAGCAGAGTTGGTGCTTCTTCTGATAAGCTAACTTGACCGTATTTCTTTATCTTTGCTCTAGCATGTGTCATATTGTTTTCTTTTTGTAAACCATAAAATGAGTGAAATTCCAAAAATTAAGGGTTTTGTTTTAAAATCACAGAACTTTTAGAAATACCATATCTGTATATCTATTCCTGCATTTTATAAATCTGTAATGGAAGAAAACTGAAAGGAAGAATTAGACTGAGTCTTACCTTTCTCTGACTTAAGATAAATTGGTAAAACTTTTCACTTGATACTTGGAGAAATCATTAACTGGATTCTATTTAATTTCCCATATTGGGCAGTTTAGAGGAGAACCAGCCAAACAAATTATGATCTAGCAAATTTAACATGGGGGAGGGGGAGAGTAAACTATTTTTCAGTAGATTTGCACTTTAAAATTATCAACTGGACGTTGGTGGAAAGGACTTCCATAGGGCAGATGGGTAAATATCTAGCCTGCACTAGGATGTTAGAGAATCCAACCTCACCCTTGCTCGTTCTAAACCCACATGAGTAGTTACTGTCTTTCAACAGTCAGGATTTCTCTTTTTCCCTACTTGGGTTGTCTTCCATGTCTGTTGCATCCAAGATCATCCCTCTGGGGGACCGTGTCAACTAGTTCTCCTACTCAGAATAGAAGCTTTGCAAATTATCTTTCCCACCTCTAGATTTTAAAGTAATGTAGAGTTGTCTAACATTATATGGGTGGGAGGTTCTTTGCCTCTGTGATCAGTAGGGTACCTACCTCTGAGGTGCTACTGCATAGAGGGATCACTCCCATCAAAAGACTGGTGAGTTGGAAGCTAAGAGCATGTGCACATAGCCAGCT